GAACTTCACAGGTATTGCTTCGAAAGTTAAAAAAAAAAGAAAAAAGAAAGATAAGGGCGATAGATGTTTGATAGGAAAGAAGAAGCAGACTACATCAGAGCACCAGCAAACGAATAAAAAGTTTCTTTACACAATGGAAAAGAGCACAACATAAAGGAAAAGAAAGCACTATAGGTCAAAGAAAATTTCTACAAGATTTTTTCTTTTATTATTGGCGGTAATCCATCCACTGAACATAATTGAGGGACAGATTTCTCCGTATCTCATCAGCTGCTGCAGCATCCATCCCGCTTACCAGTGGGCAAAAGGCCGGAGGAAAAGTCGGGAACAGATACTGCACTCATCTGAGCCAAAAGGCAGAGAAGTAAAAATCTCTACAAGATAACTCTTTACAAAGACAGGCAATGCTCACCTATATGACTTTTGGAGAAATCTTTGGCCACCTTAGTCTCCGACCCTTGCCACTGCAATATGTTGTAGAAGTTCACACCAGACCCCTCCACTTCCACAACGTCCTCCAGCTCGTTCCAGGCTTTGGTGGCTTCTGTAAACTCACCTGGAGAACATTATTATATGTGAGGCAGCGTGGTGGAATCAGGCTCTCGTCAATTTTTGGGCATGTAGAGTTATTGGTATCATCATCTTAAAGCTTGTTCACTGGTCTTTATTTAATTTGGATGAAAAAACATCCATTTATCTTGACTACAAGTCGAGATATTTGCAAAAGAAGGAGGTAGGGGTCACCTGTTTTCAGAGGTAAAATTAGTGAGAAAATGGCCACCAAAGATTAGTTATTTCCTAAGCTTAAGAGTCCGTGGTAACTAAAAATTTACATTTTTGTACTTTTCATCAACGTTTTTCAGAAACATCCACACAAAAATGAGTTCTTTAATGGGCATGAAAGGGGTTGAGCCAAAAAACAAAAAATTGAATAAAATTCACAAACCCGCAGAAAAATGCCAGTTTCTTCACTTTGATTATTTTGACGAGAGCCTGATTCCACCACACTGCCTCACATATGTGAGGATGTGAGGCAGCACGGTGAAATCAGGCCCCCGTCAAAATAATGAAATCGAAGAAACCTGCATTTTTCTAGCCGTAGAGCAGTTTTTTTTCTAATTGTATTTTTGGGGTTTAACACCTTTTATGTAGAGTCTATTTAAAAACACATTTCTGAGGTGGATTTTACTGAAAAACATCCATTAAAGGCACACAAAAAAGGATATCAAATAAAATACATCAGGAAAAGAGACTTGTCCAGTAGCCCATTCAAAAACAAGAAAACAAAATCAATAAGAACAAGAATGCAAACTGGGCAGAAACCACGAGTAAAACCTTCCCAACAAATTCTGGCTTACCTTTGTTGACCAGATCTTCAACTTTCTTGGCCACTTTGCCGATTCGTTCTAAGCCAGACCAGGATATAATGGACTGAAAATAGACAGAGGAAGCCACTGACTAATAAAATCTGGTACTCTGTCATTGTACTCAGATATTTAGACAATTTCCTTTCCTTCTTCTTCATCTTCAATGACAGTCAGAAAGTCAGTCCATTGGTGCACACAAACTGTGCAGTTTTCTCCATAGACCTCTGAAGACAGTGATAGGTGACTCCTCTGTCACAGGCAAAGTGCTACCCTAAAAGTACCAAGTTCTATGTGCTCAGTACCCAGTTTTGAAAAATTTTAAGTTAAGAATTTTGAGCTTCACAACATGTCAAGCTTTTTCAAATGCAATTCTTTGAATATCTTGATGATAACTACTCCGAATAATCTTACAATTTTGATAAAGTGAATAGAACATTTGGTTTTTTCTAACCTCAAGATCTTAGGAACCCAAAATGGCCAAAAGTGTCCGATAGACCTTTGTAATTCTAATATCAACCACCTACAGAGAAAGAAACAGACCACTATCTTCTGCCTACCAACAGAACATATACAACTCAACTTTCACTTGAACAAAATAAAACCAGAACTTCCCCCAATGTGTCTTTTATGTGACTATGTGCATATGAGACTGTGGATCATCACGTTTTCCCCTTTACAGCCCTAAATGACATCAGAGCTACACTTTTCCCTCCGAGACCTAACTTTGACAACATACTCACGGAACTTTACAGCAACTGCAGCAACACTGCACTTATCACTACATGGCATTGGACAGAAGGGCGAGAGCCCAGCTGTTGCTGGATGGATAACAACAACAACAACCTTATGTTCCGTCTGGAAATACGACATATAGGTGGGCTGTGTGGAAATTCTAGCCTCTTAAAGTTGGCAAAAGTGGGTGCTGTCTATAAAAAGGTCGAATAGCACTGCTCTAAACTCTCTAAAGTGTCAAGTCCTTACTGTGGCATAGAGGTAGGGTCCCCATGAGTTGGTGGAGTCTACGGGAGAAATCCACGAGTCACCCATGGCCAAACCTTGAAAGTTCATCGTTATTGTTCCTTTCTTGATCGCCTGTGGATTCAATACAATGGAGAGTTTAAAAAGTTATCCATCAGAATCATTGCAATAAAACACAAATTTACTCATTCGAGGTGAGTCAATATCCTTTTCCCAGCACACTTTTTCTTTCCAAGACAAAAACCAATTCATTGATATGAAAAGAGAGTACACTTTAGTTTCTCTCCTTGCTTTCACTTCCTAAGCTGTTCCCCTCATTTAGAAAAAAATGAAACTTATTCACAAGTGACTTTTCCCAACACAAGCAACTCATTGCAGCAAAGTCATCAGTCATTCCTATCCCACACACTTTATGCTCAACAAGATAAAATAATCCTTGGCATAAATAGTTAAAGAAAGATTGCTTTTATGGAACTAGTTGATAATTCTATGTTTTACCCAAAAATGACAGGTATAAAAACCTATATAATATGAATTCTACGATATCTCCATCCCCATACTTCCATTTTTCAACTTAATCAAAAATGTAATATTGCTGGGCAATTCCACACCCACATGAGCACACATGCCAAAATGAAAATAAAAAGACAGACATGCAAGAAATTAATTTTAAAGCTGAACTGAAAAATAAAACATGGCAGACAGAAGCAAATGATTAAAGCTGAATGTCAAACAGATTTCTGTTGGTTCCAAGGGCTGTAAGTGGGGGTGAGGAATTCCCCCACCTTCCCATATATAAGACTTGTATTACACAGGTCAGTCCACTTACACTGTAAAGAACAGCACTGAATCCTGCAGTCATCTTTCCACCGTATGATTCAGAGAAAATATAAAACGGCGTTTTCTGAAATAAAACAAATTTCAAGACTCAAAATAAGACTTCGAATTAACAAAAGTATGCAACAAAAACACTGAAGTTGGAATCATGTTTTTGCATACACAATAATACACAGTACAAATATTTCATGAATGTAACTTTTTAACTTGAGGTTTACAAAATCTACCCCAGATTTGACGTACTGGATGTCAGCATGTTATTGGCTCCATATTTCTTTCTCTCTATTGCTTTAAAAAAAGAACAATTACAACACTTCCTGCCTTAAATTTAAGATATGAAGTATGAAAGTCACTAAAAAAACAGTCTTCTGAGTATTTAGAGAAAGTGGCAGAACATAGAAATCGTTTTGTTCTGTACAAATTTCCCTATTAATGTTTTTTAAATACAAAGATTATCAAGGCAGTATGAGATAAAAACTTGGGAGCTGAAAATCTGTTAGCTATGTGCATGTTTTGCTACACACATGTTCCGTATGTGTGAGCAAGACTATATATATAAACAATATGGTACCTGAAAGGCAGGGAAAGACTTGGTGAACTCTGTCATCACAACAAGTAGGTCATCGCAGATCTCCTGCAAGTTGGTGGTGTAGGCGTTCTCTGCTGTGACATAGCTGAAGCCCGTGCCCACTGGGTTGTCAACAAAGAGGAGACTGGCTGTCTGCAGCTGTACACAGATTCAGAAAAACCAGAACTTTGGTGAGAAACGACAAAACGTGTAAAGGGTACCCAAGTTCTTTTTCCTTTAAGCTAGGAAAATAGAAAATATTTTTTTTTTTTAATGGGAGAGAGAGGGAGAATAGATACACAGAGGACAGATGAGAGAGAGAGAGAGAGAGAGAGAGAGAGAGAGAGAGAGAGAGAGAGAGAGAGAGAGAGAGAGACAGAGAGAGAGAGAGAGAGAGAGAGAGAGAGAGAGAGAGAGAGAGAGAGA